AATATGAGAATATTGAAATGTATGTGGCTGCAAGTTTCTAATTATCTCATCGATGTTTGGATGTATGTTGCTAATTGCAATTTGCATATCATCTTCAGGGCTTAAACGCGAGCGGTATTTAGTTTTTATTTAAACTAGTTTGCTAAATCCAGTTTCACATAAATACGTTGATGCAAATTGTATTAACACTCTGATGGCATTCTTGCATAAAACGGGATATTGTTTTTCCACTGATATCCAAAATTTTTGGCAAGGCTGAGTCTTAAATTGATTTCGAAGAGTACAATCGCTAATTCGATCTATCGATTGCTCTTTCTCACTAATTTGAAGAGTTGACCTGCATATGTCAAAGGAAAATGGATCACGAATCCAACCAAGATCGTTTTCAGGAAAATCCTCGAATCTTCTCGAAAATTTTTTCTTTAACTTTTCAATGTTATTGGAAATGATGCTTCTAAATGTAAATATATTTATATTATTTTCCTTGATAAAATCTTTAAAGCAAGGGAACATGTCGGTATTGTTTTTATTCAGTTCAGTTTGCCAGAGACTAAGCTTATTCTTAAAAGCTTGAATTTTACAGGCTGCAGTTATGATAGATGAATTCTCCCCCTGCAAGCTCAAATTTAAGTCGTTAAGTTTTTCGAAAATATCAACTAAATAGCTCAGCTTCCCTAGTCAAACTTCATTGATATAATAACTTGCCAGTCTATGTTTCTTTTCGATTAAAAACATGTACACTTCATTTCTCAAATCAAATATCCGTCGTAGTATTTTCCCACGTGAAAGCCATCTGACTTCGGTGTGTAACAGTAATCTCTCATACGTTGAGCCCATCTCATTGCAAAGTATTGAAAAGAGACGGCTGTTGTGGCTGTTGCATTTAATGTAGTTAATTGAACTAACAGCGTCTTGTAATACGTTGTGCAACTCTTCATCCATATCTTTTGCAACAAGAGCTTGCCGATGAATCATACAGTGATTAAATACCATATGAGGCGCCACCTTCTGAATTAAGCCTCTGAGCCCTTTATTCGAACCTGTTAATGCTGCAGCACCATCAGTACAAACCGCAACACAGTTTGCCCAAGAAAGGGACTTTGTTTCAAAATATTAATTTATTACTTCGAATATTTTTTCTCCAGTTGTTTTTCCTTCCAAACTTTTGCAACATAAAAACGTTTCTGTTATACCTTAATTAAAAATAAACCTAACGTAAATAATTAGTTGTGACATTTTAGTAATATTGGTAGTCTCGTCCAGTTGTAAAGCAAATACAGATGAATTTTGTATGCGTTTTATGACTTCTGACTCAATATTTCGTGAAATTTCGGAAATCCGCCGAGACACGGTATCTCTTGATAATGGTATTGTTTTTAGTTCATTTCCATATTTATCGCCATGCATAATTGATGTCATCTTAGTTGCTGCAGGAAGGATAAGGGATTCTCCAATTGTATGGGGTTTCATTGTTTTTCCTATTAGATAAGAAACTTCTAAAGAAGCTCGTAATGCTTTCTGAGGTATTGTTGTAAATTTCTTTAAATGTGCACTTGGAATTTTCACCTAGTCTTTGAAAAAAATCGGCATGTTTATTTTGAAGTTCTTTATGTTTAGTTTCCAGGTGCCTTATTAATTTAGCTGGTTTCATGCTCTCATTTGCTAATTTTTCGTTGCAAATGACACATATCAGGCGTTCTTCATCATCAACAACACAAAATGTAAAACCAAACTTAATAAATTCTTCATTGTATTTTCTTATTTTTTTTAGATCGGGCATTTAGTTCAGTATTTTGCGACTCCTCATNTTTCAACTGTCAAAAACCTGCCAACCCTGTTATTAACCATCCTGTACTAATACATAACTATAATTCTTAATAAAACTTAGATTTATCAGTATTGGTGAAAACCATTAATAAAACTAAGGATAAAGTTATAGGTAAAAGTTTTAAAATAATGAATTATCAATGTTTCACTATAAATGAATATAAATGAAATTATCACTGTAAATAAAATATCCCTAAAACTGAGTCACTAGGTTAAAATAGTATTTTTCAATCCAATTCCTTTAGAAAAAAGTATTGCAAATTTATAATTTGAAAAACTTATAAACACAATATATAAAATTATAATGTAGGAAATACTCAAACAAAATACTCAAAGAATGACACAAAGAATGTACAATGGCCTTTAAACACAAAACAGGAAAGAGTCATTTGTCTCAAATCCCAGGCTCTATTTCTTTGAAGTTGTAAAAAATAAGAATACTTGTTATTTTACAAATAATTTGATAAATTATTTGTAACATATCAAAAAATTTCTTAATAAGTATTTCCCTCTACCAAAAAAAAGTTCTAGCCCACATCACCAACGTTTCAATATTTTGCATCTCACTCTCATATCTTTGAAGAAATGAAGAAAAAACAACAAATTTAGCACATTTTTAGAGAAATACTTAGATATGAAAATAATATTGATGCACTTTACAGGGTTGCTACTCTACCTGGAAAAAGTCAGAAAATTAGGAAATTGTCCAAAAAATCAGAAAATTGAACATTTTTGAGTCGCAAAGTGGAAAAGTCAGGGAATTTGAATTGGCGAGTATGGTGATCTATAAATCTAGCCTCACCTAACTTTAGTTAAAGCTTATTTAACACCGTTGGCAACGTTCGGTTGACAACTGTAGTTGTAATTTGGTTTTTCACTTTTTCAGCTTTACCTTCTCATTCTCGGCCGTCAGATCAGATGGTTGTGTTCTTGTTTTTAGTTAATAAATTTAGTTTATGTATGAATGATATTTCTTTCTTTATGCATAACGTTCAATAGACCCTCGAAGACACGGGGGCCTAAAGTGAGAGCCAAACATGTGAACTTTGCGCTAACATTTTCCATAGATCACATTTTCAACGCAGGAAATTTGTTTTCACTCATTTGGCACAGAGTCAAATTTCACAGAACTGTAATATGCCATGGTTTGGTGACTTAGAAAACTTTCAGCAGGAAAAGGGTTTAGGTTGCTAGAACCCATAACAGATAAAAGGAAGGATGCAATTCCGATTGCCTATTCTTATTTTTTATTAAGAAAATTATTGGGATAAATAGTGTTTTATAATCTCTTATAAATTATTGTTTTTATTGTTAATTTTCTATCATCAAGGTTTCATAAATGAATTTAATTAAATTCGTTTCTCAGAACTCACCTCACGGGGAAGCTGTTCCACCAGGAAATTATAAAGCTATACTGAAATATTCTGGGGTCAATCCTTATTTTATTTTTAGAGCCCATTTTTGGGAAAAAGGGAAATTATTTTTCTTAAAATTTCTTAATAGATAAAGAACATTTAGTTTTAGCAGTTGCTATGCTTCATTCCAATTTTTTTTAGTCAAGTCCACCTGTTTCTCGGTCGCTTACTTATAGTTTTTCAAATTGATTTATATATATTTAATATGTTGTTACGACATGCAAATTCTGAATTTGAGCCATCACTTATTTTGAGGTGTTACTTTCATGACAATTCCATCATAAATTTACGTCACTAGTTGATAGTCTATCAGCAGTTATTTATCATTTTTGCGGCTCTTTTAACAAGGTTTTTCTAATTCCGATATTTTCAGAAGTCTTATTACTACTTTCGATTTCGATATCACTTTTTGATGCATTCCGTTTGGGATGATTCCATCGCAATTTCATATCGCTAGATGGATAGTTTTTGAGGCAATTATTTATCATTTTTCACCCCTTTTCGCATGGCTTGGCTTTTTTAAATCCGATATTTTTAATACGATGTTTATGACGCTCGAACTTGAGTAATAATTTTCTGGCACGTTAAATTTATGACGATTTCATTGTAATTTCGCGTCATTTGATAATAGTTTTTTCTGAAATTATTGATTATTTTTCTGTCCTTTACACGTAGTTTTTCAAATTCAGGTATTTGTAATGCGCTATTAAGACGTGAGAATTTTGATTTCGAATCATGTCTTTCTGACACGTTCGATTTGTACAATTCAATCAATTTTAATGTCATGATGTTTGGTGATAGTTTTCTCGGCAGTTCTAATTTTTCGACCCTTTTCACATGCGATGTTATAACGACGTTCGAGTTCTGCTTTGACATGCTTCATTCGTGAACATTTCATCGTAGCTTCACGTTGGATATTGATTTTTTCGTCTTTTATTTACCATTTTTTCGACCTTATCCACAATGTAATCCAAACTTTGATATTTTCAACACGCTAAATTGGAATTTGAGTTAAGAGGCATTTGATTCAATATAATGCTGTTGTAAAACTGTCGTTTACGGTAATTTTTTCTGAGAATCTGCCATGGAAAAATTTTGTACGATTATTTTTATAAAGGGAAATTTCGTAAAGAGGCAGTTTGTGCGAATTTGAATTTTGTGAAGGGACTGCTTTTACAAATTAGAAATTTATGAATGGGACTTTTTTAAAAATTAGAATGTTGTGAAGAGGCCGCGAAAAGTCTCTAATTCCCACCTGGATCAACCCTTAATATCTCTTTGAAAAATGTACCTATTTTTTATAATAAATGGACAGATTTATTGCATCTTTTTAATATTTTATTTCACTTTACTTTATTTATTACATTCAAAGATACTTAGAAGATATTATAGTTACATAATTTGCACTTTCTTTTCTTTCCAGCATTTTCTTTTCATCTTGTTTTCACTCTCATTCATGTTTAAATCTCTCAATTATGTCTATAATTTTCATCTATATTTATAGAGAGCAATAAAAAGTATAGAGAGTAGAATAAATTGTTCTTTTTTAACATTCTGTTCTAGTTTTCTGTTGTTGTCTAATTTATTCTTTAAAATATACCCTGTCATCAAGATTTGTAGATTACTTTTTTTATAATTTTACTTTTGATTAGGTTTAATTTCAATAAATTTCAAAATTTTGAATATTTTAATTAAAATTTTCAGAATACTTATATGCTTGTTTAGAGAACTTTAGTTCCGTAAAGATACAAATTTCTAATAAATTTTTAATGTTTTTCTTTCAGTAATATTTATATTTTTTCTTTATAATAAAGGATCAGAGCTTTTTTTTACTTGCTCTCTTTTTAGAAAATTTGCTTTTATTTTTTAATCAATATACAAAAAAAAAGAAGGAAAAAATATTATTTATCACTCAGAAAACCATCTTATCCAGTTATTATACTCCACAGATTTTATTTTTAAAAATATCATTTTATTTAGTTGATTAAAAAAGATTTGAATTACTATTGAATTCTGAATTCATAATGCTTATGTGTTTATGAGTTTCATTTTTGAGACATACATATTTTCAACTTCATAAGCTCATTTCTCAGGTCATAATGTATTTTCAACACATGAGTTTAGTCCACAATTGTTCAGTAACGCAACATTTTGTGAGGTGTATGGGATGATATACTGTATTCTTCGGCGAAAGCGCCGCGGCACTATCGAAAAAAAAGTTGTTTTTTTCCTACATGCGGCGCTTTCGACGAAATATTTTTTAGTAGCAAAAAAAAGTTATCAAGGAAAGTTATTTAAGATGAAATAATTTTCTGAGAGAAAGACTATAAAAAAAATTAATAACGAAGTTGACGAAATATTCGTCCGTATCGCGATCTGCTGCAGAACATCGCCAATTCTTAGCAAACTTTCGACAGCAGCCTGCAAGATAATAAATAAACGAAATAATAATTTTAAAAAAACCATCATATAAGGAGAAAATTTAAAAGGTATGCATCTTCTATTCACCCCCAGTTTAATAAAAAATCGCAATCTAGAGATCTGCTTAGTGCCTTGGCATTTGTAATTGGAACGAACAGAAAAGGACCCCTAATCCGACACAAACGAGACTTACGAAATGCCGAGCTTCAGATCTCTTTCGAAAATATTCTAATATGGCGCTCAAATATTACTATAATTCAATTACACTGTTAATTTCAGAAAAACCAATAAATTTAGTCAAGTTTCGATCATAGATTATGGTGGGGTGAATTCAAAACTGGCCCACCTTAAGGAATTTTTTAATTAAAATTATAATCTATATAATATAATCAAGAAAAAATAATCCGAATCCTCTGAAAAAGAAATAATCGTTTCTTCTTTGGAGCGAGATCATAGTTCTCGTTTTTTTTTTAGGTAACATTTTGCTTTAACTAATGACGCTTAACTCGAAAAAAAAAGCTAACAAGGAACTACAAAATAAAAGTAACAATTAATGCTAAGAAACTAACAATGAATAACAACAAAAAACAAGTTAAAAACTAATAGCGATAAAAAAAACAAGCAATCGACTAATAACACGAAAAAAACAAGCTAACTATAAACAAAAAAACAACAAATTAACAGTTAATAACTAATAAAAAAGCAGCAAAATAAAAAATTAATGAATCGAATAAAAAACCGCAAAAGGGATAGAATTCATTTTGTAATCCATGTGGTAGTTTCAATGTCAACTGGGTGTGGCTAATTTATGGTCAAACAGAGGAGGGAACAAACCAGTAAAGCACAAGCACAGCTGTCAAGATTGATTGATCAGTTTTTTCCAACTTGCATTTCTTTATTTTATTCATTGGGGATGCAGGCGTTTTTACTTCTCACTTTATTTTAAACTGCTTTAGAAAAAGATGTTTCCCTTGACACAGATTTTTTTTCAGGCTTTTTTTTTTATTTTTAAAAGATTAAATAAAGTTACTTACTTCTTCAGAATAAAATTTCAAATCAAAAGAATATAACTGATTTTTCTTATCAATATAAATTTCTTAAAAAAAAAAAAAAAAATAGATCAGATTAAGTGCCAAATTTTGGGATGCTGGATTAGGGGTCCCATACCCTCTTTTCTTTTCCCCAACCCCTTTAAAAATAACTGATTGATTCCTCCTAAACAGCTCCATTAGAAATGACAGGTGGAGGAGGTGGGGTGGGGCGTGCTTAGTTATTTCTTATTCTTGTTATTATTAGTTGTTTCGTTATTATTAGTCTTTCCTCAAATTGTTAACTTTGATAAATTTTTAAATCTTTTTATTTTAATAAATGTTTCTTTTTTTCTCATTACATTGTTTTACGGATTTCTGTAATCAGCCCAGCTTAATTCAGCTGCTGAGCATATAAATATTATTTTTTTTTGCTGTTCTTCTGTTTTTTGGCTCGGTGCCAACTGGTAAGAACAACTTTATTTTATATCGTTTTATTTATTTATTTATTTTTTGCTGAGAGAGAAATTTTTTTTCACGAGAACTCTTTGTTAACGTGAACTCTTTGTTAATGCATTTTAGGCTTCCCCCCCTCAAATAATTTAGAAATTATGTTATTTGATGTATTTAAAAAAAATTTGGTGTACTTAACATTATTTTCAGAATTATTTGTTGTACTTAACTTTACTTTTTGGCCCGGTGCCACAGATAAGAACAACTTTATTTTAGATCGTTTTGTTGCTTTTTCTTTTCTTTTCGCTGAAAAAGAAATTTTTTATTATAATTTAGAAATTAAAACTTTACTTTATGAAATGTATAAAAAAATTTAATTTTTTATTATACAGATATTCTACATGGTAGTTTAAAGGTCTCCTCTATAAGGATGCTGATATGCGCGGTTTAGCACCAATGCGGCGCTTACTATAACTTTTATCGATGTGCGGCGCTTTCGTCGAAAAATACGGTACTTCTCTCTTCTTATCAAATTTTGGGGCTGTGACAAATATCCTAGGAAGGTTTATCTCTGTAAAATTACACAGTTAAAATATATTAGCAAATGCAACTATAAAGATTTCTAATTGACATGTTTTAAATTTGTGCAAAAGTCTACTCCAATATCTTGATTTTATTGCTGTTTCACTAGTTAATCATTTCAGAGTCTGTTTCATAGTTGAAATGAGCAAATAATGTGATCTGAAAAGAACTGCACGAGCAGTTCTCGGGTTTTTAGTGCAAAAGCAAGTAGAGGATGATGAATCTAAAATAATGATAAACTAAATTGATAAAGAATTAATAACAGTATTTAAAATCTTATTTCACAAGAACAAAATGTCTGAAACCATTAAACAGAAATTCTACTAAGTAAAAAATATGTAGTTACATATTATTACACAGTTAATAAATACCTTTTTTGTATCAGCCTTTAATGGAATAATAATGTTTGATGACCCACTGGTAGGAATAATTACAGTTGAATTAATTGAAAAAGTAGTATCCATGCTGGCCTCAGTCTTAGATTTAGAAACATTGCATCCTTCAACTGTCAATGATGAACTAAAATAATGAACACCATCCTCCATGACACTAAGTTGAAAGCCATTCTAATCAGAAAAATAAATTAATAAACATATTTACTTTAATGAAATAAAAAACATACAAACAGGAAGAACATATTTTCAAAGACTGATTATCAAAATGATATAAACTTTCCAAAACTGTTAATTTGTAAACAAAAATGCTTCACTTTATTGAGAGGCAGTTTTACAGACATTAACTATGTCTGAAGCAAAACTTGTATAGAAAGCAAAAATAACTCTACAAGAACTAGAACTTGTAACTGATCAATAATGACTAAGGCACCTAAACCTTCAAATATTTAAATTTAAAGAGATATTGCATTAAATTGGTCATACTGTATCAACATTGAATCATTAGGTTTAAGAGAAAAAAAATTTATGAATAATAATTAGTACAAGTAAAAGTTTCTACCTGAAATGAGTATAAAAGTATAGAATTATATAAAAGTTTATTTGTAACTTTCTGTTTCCAAATGATCTAAACTTGAGAAAAATGTAAAAAATTCGAATTTTTATTGATTTTATGCATCCTCTCTTTTAATATTACTGTGAGATGGAGTGATTTTAAAGTCATATATGTTTTTTTTAATTAAATGGCTTCTAATTATAATTAGAATAAAGATAATAGTTTAAGAATTTTCTGCCAGTCTTAGAGGCAGTAAAAGATTGTGAAACAGCTGTCTATACTGTAATTACTGACGAGTTTTTAACTGTGTACATAGCAATTTGATCGTGTTTTTGGTTCTCTGAGTTGAATTCGGCAAACTTCATCTGGGATACATACTTACAGTATTATCATCCATCACTTCTCATTTAGAATTCCTGTAAACTGAGCACATCATATTTATAAACACAAACCTTTATGTTCTTTGTTTACTTTATGTGATGATAACCAAGAATACTTTCACAATGCCAATATCCTTTGGGTGTTGGCATTGAGAAACAGTTTCAAATGAATTATATATTGAAAAGTTTTGATTTGAAAATTGAAATGAGAATTGAATTAAGATTTGATTGAAATGAGAATTGAATTTGAGATTTGATTGACTGATTAAATTGAGATTTGATTGAATTGAGATTTGAAAAATTTTGTTTGGATACTCGATAACAAGAATATTTGCTATGAGCTGGAAGAAAGTTAAGTCAATTTCAAGGAGAAAAATTAGGTCACACAAAGTCATTTAACCAGAGGTGGTGACACTTTGCCATATGAAATGCATTTTTTTTAAAAAAAATTCCTAATCATTACAATTAAGTTTCTCTAGCACAATAGAAAGGGTAGTGAAGATATATTTTGTAAAATATTCGAAACTGTAAATTGCAATTTTAAAAAAAATATGCAAAAAACCTCTATAAAGTGGCATAATAATAATAAGTGGCATAATAATAAGTAGCATAATAATAAGCGGTATAATAATAACTATCATAATAATAACAAAATACTGATTAGCATTAGGATGTATATATAGCTATAGATAAGGGACAAAAAAACTATGCAATTTTATGTACCTTGGATCATTTATCAAATATCTTACTGCGTCCTAATCCCCTCGAAAATAGGAGAAAGTCAAAACTGGGATTTTTTTTAATAATTTTCTGTATTATTTTTTAAGAAATCTCTTTCAGTATTAGCAATTATAACAATAAAATAATACATTGAATAAGTTTATAAAATTTTTAATAAGTTTATTTTCCAAGTGAGCAGTAGTACTAAATGCTATATCATTATCTGTTTCGATCAAATGAAATAATTATTTCCCATGATTGGAGTTTTGCTAGCATGAAGTTTGCTTGTATCTCACCACACAAAGCAGCTGAAGCTTCCGTCAAAAGTTTAACACTTCTCTCTTCTACTTGTGTAAGACATGGAAACCTTGGCATGTTAATTAAAGACTTGAGTTTACAAAATGTTTCAGTTCCTTTACTTGAATTACTTTGTCAGTGGTGAAGTTGTCACTGAGCATTCAGGACTTCCGATAAACTCATAGTGCATTTTGGAATTGAACTTTATCTTGGAAATAATAAACTGCCTTTTTTTTATTTTGTTCTTTCTTTTCACTTAAATTATTTTTTGAATCCCAAGTGGTCTAATAGTTTTATTTTTATCTTTCATTTTCATTCATCTGTGCTCAAACTTTAGAATCAGGAATTGGGATCTGAGTTTCAAATCTTTGGAATGACATAATTGAAAGCTTTTTGCATGTTTCTAAAATTTTACCAATTGGACTATAGTATAAAATAAGTGTAGTTACTTGTCTATCAATATATGGAAAAGATGTTCTAGACAAAGAAAGTTCATTAACATGCAGTATGCAGATAGAAAAGTCTTTTTTTTTCTTTGCTATATTTCTCTATACAACTGAAATTCATTACATTAGGTAACTATTCTAATAATTACACCAGGAAAATTATAGAGAATTCACCTTTGAGACTTTTTCTCCACTTTTTGAGGGCTTTGGGATACCATAAAATATAGTTAAATAAAACTGATAGGAAATTTAGAATTGTTCTGACATTGAAATATTTGTGACATTGAGGTTTAATTGTATAATGAATATTAACAACGTCAAATAATATATTTTAACAATGACTAGAGATTGTGGTTAGCTGTGCACTTATGTTTGAATATTTTGTATAAAAGAACAATGAATTTAAGAAAAAAGACAAAGTCTTTTTTTTTTTTTTAGCAAATACATGTTTTCCAGTAAACTACTCACATATGGTGAAGCTAATGGTGCAACAGAGCTTGCTGGTAAAGTCCATTCTAAGCCATGTTCACTATGTAAGTAAATAACGTGCCTCAACCTGTTAATAAGAACCATTTCAGGTTTTATGTCAAGCAAAACAGTATTTAATCCAATCCATCGTTGTGATTTTTCCACCTGAAAAAATGAAAAGTAATTCAGTCAAGTAACAAAAGCCAACAATTAAAAAAGGTGGAAGAAAAAAGATAACAAGAATAAATTTCATAACAATGCATAGTACAATGATTTAATAACATCAAATGACAAAGATGAACAGTTTTAATGTTGAATAATAGGCAGTAAAAAATTTTAGTACTGATCAAAAAGGTAGGTTTTTGAGCAATAGTTTCAGCACTTTGATTTTTCCTGGTTTGAGCTGGTTAATGCTGAAAATACCAATTTCTCAAGACATTATCTTAATGGACAATTGGTGTATGAAGAAATTGCTAAGATTTAAGACAGTAAGTTTCTTTTCTTCAAAATGAAATATTTTCTGCAATCCTATTCTCACTATTAAGTTAAATTAAGGCCGGTATTTTCTATGCATAATACATAGTTGGCAAGTTTTTAACATAAGCATTTTATATTGTTTCCTCTACATGCGTATAGTAGAGATAGGTTAATACAATTTTTATGTATCAGTTACAAACTGTTTACTGACACAACTAAGAATCCATTACAAAAGCCAACTACTTTTAGTAACAGATATATATCCAACTTAATTTAGAACTAAAATAAAAGAAAAGTTTAAAAATTATGAAGTAAACATTTTATAGCTATTATTAAAGCAATAAAGGTTATAGCTATAAACTAATAGTTTATAGTATAAACTAATAATGAATATTAATTTGCTTTTGTTTAAATTGCAGACTTAAAAGAATTTTGCTCTTAAAATAAAAGGAAAGTTATTTTAAATCAAATGTAAATTTATAAATATTTTGTTAAAATATAAATTATTTAACAGTTTTCATCATTGTTACTTTCAATGAAGTTATGATATAATAAATCATGTAGGACATAATTATTATATGTTCATACGTTTATAACAACTGATAAAGGAAAATGCAATATTAAGCAAAGCATTTTTAGTTCATTTATTTCCTAATAATTTAATTAGCTGCGAAAATTTGTAGCAGCTTCATCTCATGAGAAAATATTTTCAGCTTTTAGGTTTTAATTTTAGAATAAAGAACGATTTTTTTTTCTGCTGTTAAGAGTTTTTATTTATCTTTAATATCTTTTATGGATAACTTTTATAGTTTTTTCTCTTTTTCTCTTTATTGTTTTTAATTGACATTCTAAAAACCCGTCATTTTTTTACTGTAATTTTTAGTATGGAGTAGAATATTTCCAACATATATGGTAGTTTAAAATATTTAAGGTAGTTATTTTTGGCCTTAAATACATTGTTGGACAATTGCTAAGGACAGATTATAATAGCAATGATAGCTTTTAATAGTTACAAAGTTGAAGGTAAGAAAATGTGAAACTAATAAGTGCAAGATACAGTAAGACATGTTTTGTTGCATATGCAAATTTCAGGTTGTCAAACTGGTTTGTTACATGACATGGTTGATAAGAGATATAAAGGATTTAAGGTGTATTGAGTGTTATTGTTCAAAATCAAAGTGTAACAATCAATTGACAAATTTGTAATTTTTTATGTCTTCCTGACATCATTTAGATGATTTTAGATGCAACCATATGATTGGCAATTGTCTAGAAGTGTAAATAAGAGTGAAAAATTAATAATCTTATTTTCACTTTTATGTCTCACTTTTGCATTTTTTTTCAGAATTTCATTTCATTCTTTTATAATTTATCTTTATTTATTACAGTTTTATAATATATTATTTTTTAATAAGTGTTGTTTGCAGTGCCCTTAGCTTTTATTAATGTGCATTATTTTTTTTTTACCAAAATAAGGTTCAATTAAGAATCAAAATTTTTGGCACTCAAGGACTCGATATACCTGAATTCAAAGGTTTTCCTTGTATTCTAGATCTTTGAGTTTTTACTGAAATATCAAAAAACAAAACAAAAATTAAATCAGGATGATATAATTAACGTCAGTATAATTAAAAATGTTTGGCAGTTCATAATAATGGATTTTACTTCATTTTGACGCTTCATATTATGTGAATAGCCTCCTCTTATCACTATATAAAAAATACAATGCATTGTATAAGGGACAAAAAGGATAGATTGCAGAAAGAAAATATTTTGCCTTAAGTACATAAATTGCTTTATTTTACAATGAGCCATTATAGTTATTACACATGAATTTCATGACAGCTTAATTAAGATGAGTGAAGAGAATAAATTTATAAAAAGTAAAGATAAAAAGAAATTTTTTAAAAGTAAATTTTTTATGGAACCATAAACACACTTAACAACTATTCAACTTTTTTTAAATTTATTTCATGAATTCAAATCTATCCATAAAATTATGTTTTAATCCAGATATAATTGTCCAAGTATATTGGTAAAAATGGCTAATAAAAAAATATAAATAAGTAAAGTAAAAAGCAAATCATATTTTAAACAATAATGTCAAATATAATTATAATTTAAATAAATAATTTTTCCTTAATCTAATCCTATCAGAAGTTGTCTACAGAATTAAGCATATATTTTTATCATTTACAAAAGAATTGACACTAATACTATCAGTGCTTTAATGATGTGCCTTTGTCCCACCCTCTGTGCCTGAAGTTCCTTTGCAGCACTAAAATTGAAATAAAAAGCAAATTCCTTTAAAACTTGCATATTTTACTTTAAAAATAATAATCAATTGCAATTAACAACCATATTCACTAATACAACAATAGAGCACAGCGAATATTGACAAAGACATAGACGAGTTATCTCATTCATCACGATGAAAGAGTAAATATTGTTATATAGTAATTATTATATAATGTTAATTAAAATTAATATTACTAAATTATGACATATTGTTTAATTAATAAAATAAGTTGAAGAATTATAGTTCACTGTGTCATTTTTAAAAATATCCTTATAATTACCCAAAATGCTTTTACTTAATTTTTTTTATACGATAAAAATTTGAAATTGTCATCAATTTTGTGATTATATTTAATTAAGGTTTTCAATCAGACAAATCAGATTAAGAATTTTTGATGATGAAACATTTCCCATACCTTAACGGAACATTTTATTATTTGCATTTTATTATCATTAACATTTCATTAGTAAGCTTTCATAAGTACTTTTTCTCCCTTTATAATATATTACAGTGAACTTTCACTTATGCACCGGTGTAAGGGGCCAAGAGAAAAAAGCGCATAAATGAAAGGGGCGCATTAGTGAAAAACTTCAAAATTCTAAAACGCAGCGTAAATTGCAGTGACAATATGAATAAATATGTTTCTAAAGATAAAATGTTAATATTTATACTGCTTTGGTATTTAATATAATCATAGAAAGAAAAAAATTAACATACCTTAAGACAATCTATTTTCTTACAAAATAATTTTAATACATGTTTGTATTTGTTTTTGACAACGTATTTTAAAAACAGTTTTTTTCAGTTCATATAAATGTGATAAGGGGGAGTTTAAGAAGCAAAATTAAATTGAAAATAGTCACGAATAGTGTCTAAAGCTTCTAATACTGCTGTGTGATTTGGAAGAACTTTATCATCCTCGTCAGTATCATCCACGTTCTCATCATCCACAAGTTCTAGTTACTTAGATATAAATGAACAGTTCCTCACAAAAAATTTGAGTTTTATGGGAGGGGGTGAAACATCACATGATAAATTTCTAAGAAAAGTACTTGACGTCATAATATACTGCACAATAAGTTGAACCTCCTCTTATTTACTCATGATGTCCATCTGACTGCAAATAAGTGATTGCGGTCTCTTTCATCTTTCGTATTCCAGGTGTCTTATTTTTCTAGAAAATAGCATGGGAGTAAAACGAACTAACCTCTGGACAAGAGGAATGGTCATTTTTTAAAAGATGAATGGGCTTTCATTGTTGTTGGTGCAACAGATAAGACACACTAGTCAAAATTCTAGAAAGAATGTCCTTCCAGAAACAGCAAAACATGAAAAGGTCACAGGGGGAAGAAAATTCAATGGGATATAACAACATATATTTCTTTTTATCTGTCACAAGGATTGCTTATTTTCTTCATTTTTAATTTAAAAATTTTTTTTTAGAAAAAGAAAAAATATTTAAAGGTTAAAAAAATTTAAATGCTAGCCTAGAATTTCGACGCATAATTGAAAAATTTATTTTTAGAGCGACGCATAAACGAAGGATGTTTACCATTATTTTCATACCTTATGTACTGGGACCGGTTAAAATCGTCGTATAAATTAAAAAGGTGCATAAAAGAGGTGGTACATAAGTGAGAGAACACTGTATATAAAATTTAAAATGAAACAAACAAAATGATTTTGTTTTGAAAGAAAAAAATTTATAGACATGCATATTTCAAGAAAATAGTGATCTGGTAAGCTGGGCATTACCAAAATACTAATTAGCAATGAATATACTCTTACCCAGTTAGGAAAACAGCCATAGATGGATATTTATTTCTAAGCTGCTTTTCTCAACACATACAAGATAGGGATATAGGAGAATATTTTGGACAATACCAGATAAGCTTCTTAAAGAAGATGATTACTAAATCAATCATTTATAATCTCTTTGTCCTTTTAAAAGATTTCTTTCATCTTTGAGGAACACAAAATAAACCAAAACAATTAAAATGCAAGTAAAGATTTGGATAAAAAATTAGGTAAAAACAAGTATAAATAATTATTTTTCAATTTTTGTCCACGTTTTAAAATTAAAAAAAGAAAAACCTTTAACTTTTGTTTTGAAAAATATATGCATGTCTATAGGTGAAATGTATTCGTAAATAGAGAGTAGCCACAAAAAGGATTCTATTGTGGCATCTAGTATTTATCATCTTCCATTCTGGTTTTCCATAAGCATTGCTGATTCTTTTGAGTATTATTGACCTTGAAATTTATATTTAAATGGAGAGTAACCACAGAATATAGAAAAGGAAACTATAATAATTCAATTTTAGAAAAATATTTTAATAAAATAAAATGTTCCTCTTTCTGAGAAAATTAAGAACTATGAAAAATGCTTCCACTTTTAGATAAGGAGCTACACAAATGCTAATTTTAAAAATCATATTTTAGTCCATTATTTTGCCTGATTTGCACACAATTATTGTTGAAACTTTATACCAATTAAAAATATTGCTTATCACAATAACAACAATACTATGCATTTCACTATACTACTATTAACCAATAACAACAAAGCTATACATTTCAAACTGATTTATAGGCATATATTAATATAATGTATCTAAAAATAGGTAACATTTACTTTTAATACACAGCAAACATCCTCTGGTATAGCAGGAATGACATCATTTATTGTTTCAGAACAAATGTACATAGAGTCGACAAAGTTTATTAAGTATTTTGAGCAGCTGAAAGAATAAATACATATTTCAAACTAAGATTCAATATAATTTGCGAAAATGGGAGAAAAAGAATGATTAATACATCTGATGATAAATATGTTTTGGATGAAATTAAAAATGTTTCAAGTGGCATCGGAGGTTAAGTAAGGCTGAAAAAATGTATTTAAAAGCAAATGTAAAACCGCAGGTTATTGCAGCTTGTAAAATACCTTTAGCACATTATGATGAGGTAAAGATATAACTCTCAAATATGGAGCATGCATAAGATAATTGTGAAAGTTGAACAACTGAGTGGGTTATTAGTATAGTAATTGTTAACAGTTCCAAAATGCTGAGAATATGAATTGATTTTAGACATCTTAATAGAGACATCTTAATCTGAATTAGACATCTTAATCTGAAGGCCATTTTATTACCACTTTCCGCATCATAAGTCTGTCTATAAAGCAATTTATGTACATGGTGTAAATATTTGTACAAAACAAGTACACCACATTAAGAGATTAAATTGTTATCTGAACTGATACATATTTTTGCATTTTCCTAAAAATTCTGTTTTTCTGATGTTGCCTCATCCTCTTGACAACATGCCTAAATATTACAAAATTATATCTCAATGGAATAGTTTTTCTTTGCATCCCACAAAAATTATTACAAATTATTTTATTTTTATATAATTTTAATTTTATATAATTTTAATTTTATATAATTTTAATTTTATATAATTTTATTTTTATATCATTATATAAAAGTAATAAATATAATTATACTTCTTATAGTTATCAATGGAACTCATAATTCACTATGACTACATAATAACAAAAATTTGATTAATAAACTTCAAGGGTTGAATAAAACAATTTCAAATTTTAAATGGATATATGAATTATAAAAAGTCAAGAATTCATAACTTTTAAAAGAAAAAGATAGATTGTTCACGAACCTATCAAAGAAGCTATAAGGCCAACTTTTATGAAGCACAGATTCCATTTCAGAAAAGCAATAATCTAAGTTTTCAGTTTCGTTCAAAAGTGTTATTGGTACATCTTTCAGATTAGATAAAGATATAGGCAATGCTGGCATTTTTATGTTGAAACCTAAAATTAATATCATGTTAAGGGAATCCAACATAACTAACAATAACTTTAACTACATAAAATTCCTAATACTAATAACTTTAACTACATAAAATTCTTAATACTAAACTAACTGAACTTTTTGTTATTTATATTATTTTAACTACATCTACATAGTTTTTTTTTTAAAGGTTTTTATTAAGAGACCAGTTAAAAACTTGTTTGACACCATCGTTTGAGAATATGTCAAACAGATATATATTTTATAAACGTAGGTTAAATATAGTTATTTTTTAACAAATTCAATAAGTTGTTTAATAAAAAGTGTTAAAAAGTAATTTTAAAGCTTAGTGTTCTTATATAGTTTATGCTTTTTTAGTACAATCCTTCTTACAGCGACCCTGACTCACTTTAAATTTTCTGGTCTCCTTTAAGGGGGAACAATTCATTTCCACATTCTTTTTCATCTTGCAAGCAGCTAGTTTTTGTTTGTAGCATTTCATATCCTACTTTATCAAACTATTTTGTGTTTGAAATTTTTTGGACTTTATTAATGACTGTGAACATGGAATACCAAATTTTTATAATAAATATAAAAGCATAGATTTTACATTGTTATTAAATATTCTGTTTCTTGTATTATTTGAGACAGTTTTTGATTTCCAAGACTGATTCAAAGTCTTATCAATTTCCTTGTTCTCCAGGCTATCATGAATTTTCGCAACATTAGTTTTCATAACAAAAAGATTTTACAAGGTTGAGTTGTTATCCACACGCCCAACCAAAAACTAAACTTTTTCCCTTTGTCTGTTGTCCCCTTTCCAACTGTTCCTAATTGTCTAGCTATGCTAATAGTTAAACTATAATTTGACATAGTTCTCAGGATCATCAACACACACAAATCATACCACTTGATCTTCTTCATAGGAAAAATTGTTTAATTGTAGAAAAACTTTCTTGTAATTGTAGAACATTGATTTAAAGCTATTCATTAATAAATAAAAAGTTAACCAAAGATATTACTTTGCTACACTTATTTTGTGGTAAGTGTAAAAAAAGTTTAATAATCAATCAATATTCCTCAGGATTCAAATTTTAGTCATCTACCACTTAATAACAATTTTTACTGAAAGCAGAGCAGTTGGCATCACTGTCATTCATATAGAAACACTATCCAGTAGTAAATAAATGTCTTTTAAAGAAAATGATTGCTCACAACTTGTTTAGTTCAACATGTGGAGTTAACAATTAATTTATCAGTTTTTAAAATTTCATTTTAAAATATAGCATGGCTTTGTGAGAACTGGCCAAGTATTTATGAGTTTTCATTAAATATTTTCTTTTTTTCATACACATGCAATCCGTCATTATAACCTCCATTTTTGCTTGGATTACAAGGGAAGTTATATCAAGTGTTGACTGTACACAATTTTTTTTAATTTTATTTTGTATTACTAAACTAAAGTAATAAGTTAAATATTTCTTGAGACACTTCTTTAGAATTAATCTTTTTTAGAGAATTTGAACGTTTTCTGAAGTCAAAATTTACAAATCATTAAAAAAAACCATATAAAAGGATAGACATTATTTCATAAAGACAGACAAAATATTGCTATTATAAATATTTCTTAATAACAAATTCATAACTCACCATTTTCAGATATAGCATTAACTTGAATAATTTGATCGTTCACGGATTTCATTAAACATGCAGTTTCATTACCTTTACCAGTGATGTCAAACAAAGTATTATCATTCTCAGACATGATATTGATATTTAAAGAAAAAGGGAGATGATTGCGTAATATAAGTAAAGGACTGATAAAAACCTAGTGAATGAAATTAAAAATAACATCATAACAAAAACTATCAACAATAGTAACATAAACAAAACTTAAAACAAAACATGTTACAAAAAATAGCATTACCTTAAATGACCAGCACTTAGATGATATTTTTTGTTTTACTACTTGATACCGAACACACTGATACTGGTTATAAATAGACCAAGGAATCTAATGTTGGAAATGGAATGCTATAATTAAAAACTAATTTATAAAAATATCTATTACACTAATATTATACCAGAGAAAAGAACTTAGAAGCTGCTTTATTTGATACAAAATTTATATATGAGGTAAAACAATTATAACTAAAATTGTAAAACTTATTTCTTAGTTGAAAAAATGAAAAGCTTTCTTTAATACAATATTAAGTCACACAACATGATATTCATTGGAAGGGGGGGGGGAATTAAAATGAAAATATCTTATCGTTTTTATTTTAGTGATTTTAATTTTTGAAAAAGAATTTGAAGTTGGCTAAAAGGAGAAAGGAGCATTTGAAATTTGTGAAACTAAAATTAATTTTGTGTTTTAAAAAGTTTAAAATTCAAATATAAGCTAATGGCATAACATTAAGTTCAATATACTGTGTAACAAGGTGCTTAAATAAAATCAAAAACCTAAGATGTGGATTTTTACCAATAATTGATAAATATTATTGATTTTCAAAAATTCTCAATGATTAAAATAATTTATAAAATGCAATTTATACACAAAATAGTGAGAAGAATTTACTATAATATAAAAAATTTAATTTTTGGTATATTTGATCTATTTTTGATATAATGTTTGATCGGAAGAACAGATTTATACATCAGTTTTGATCTGTATAACTTCAGAGGCTAAAACATGCTAACTAATTGCTTTTAACTATTACTTAAATTTAAAAATCAAGCACAAATACATTTCAAAAACGTTTTCCTCGCAAGCTTAGACAAAGAGCCATTTGAGCATTTTAACATTTTCAATGCTACATATATTCATTCGGGATAAGAGTTTTTAGAACTATTTATCATTTTTTTAAATTTAATTTACTAATGTTCGATTTTTAGAATAAAATAATTTCATTAATTCATTGAATTGCAATTGTTATTTATTTTTATTTTTTTTGGTAAAAGCCTGATTACCACAAACAGTGGCGTACGCAGAATTTTTTCAAGGGGGGGGGGTCATAATTTTCAGAAATTACTAAAAGAAATTCGAGTATGTAATAAAGCACTATTACTTCCCTAATTTAGACAGCTAGACAATTTTGACTTTTTATTTCGACAACATTGTTTAGTTAAATTTTGTTTTTATTTTTTAAGTTTAAGAATATAATTTTTTTTATAATAAGAGGTAAAATATTTTATTTTTATTAAAAAGTAGGAATAAATCAAGCCAGAAAAAACTACTCATACTGTAACAGCTACCTAAATAATAACCATATAAATGTGAATATTCCATAGAAAACCAATGAATTTAACTAAAAAATGACTTACCAACAAATAGGGAATTAAACCAGTATACAAACACGCTAAAAATTTATTGATTTATACTGTAATATCCAAACGACGGGGTTTTTTTGCAAGTTCGTTTAAAATGTCTTCGACAGCTGGGGTAAATTTTCTATGAATGCTTAAGAGCGCCAATCCATTCATTCTATTATTTCCCGTTGAGTTGCGTAAATAAGTCTTCAAACGGCGCAAAGTCGAAAAGGATCTTTCGTTTGCACTCGTTGAAACAGGTAGAACGACCAATATTTCTAGGAGTTTGAAAATGTTTGGTGTTATATCTTTATTGCACATTCCAAGAGCATCCGCCGCAGTTTTTGGAACACTACCTCCGTCTTCACTAATCCTTTTTAATCTTTTATACCAGAGTTTTAGTTCAGACTTAAGGCTTTCTTTACAGGTATCCAAATCTCCAGCGTAAAATTCCACTAATGCTTCAAAAGCCTTTATGTTTGAAGGTTGGCAAATGAAAGGATCGGCAGGTAGAAGACACTGAAATCCTTTCAAAATATCACGATGCGATACAAATCTTAAGTTTAATTGTGTTATAAAATTTTCTATAAATGGAATAAAAACACTAACTCTGAAATATGTTTCCGGTGTCGATGAGGGAAAATTATCGCGATTTTTCTGTCTTCCTGTTATTCTAGGGATTTGCATGGAAGTGGAAGATCCAATGCTTGTTAGCATAAGAGAAGAAGAGCTGAATATTTCAGAGAATGTTTCAGTGGCATTTTCACGCATTAATTTTAGATCTTTAATGACATCTTCTGCAAGACTCACTGCCTCTATCAAATCTATGCTTGTTTTTTGTAGGTATCTACAGAGATGGATTGTTATGGTGAAAACTTTGTAAATGCACAAAAGAGATATTACGAACTGGCAATTAGATACTGTGCACAGTAAAGAATTAGCCTGGGTAGCTGATTCCTTATCCTTCCATTCTGATATTTTTTGTAGTGTTTCGGCGATAGGCTCGAAAAGTTCCACCACAGCGGTTACTGAGTCGTATCTTTCCATCCAACGGGTTGCACATAGCTGTTTAATTTTCTCCCTCTTAGAGCTGGTTTCCATCTCCTCTATTGCTGAAGATAGGACATACTGTCTTTTTGGCGTATTTAAAAAGTCGTATAATGTTTTAATTGTCCCTAAGCAATTTCTAATGCCAGTTATTTCGCATGCATTTGATACAGCCAAATTGAGGCTATGAGCAGAGCAATGTACATAGAGTGCTGATGGGACAATACTTCTTACGTGGGCTTGTACACCATTAATTTTTCCACTCATTGATGCAGCACCATCGTACCCCTGTCCACGTAACTTTTTTATATCAACTTTCATAGACTGTAATTGGTCTAATATTGTTGTTGCTATTGCTTTTCCGGTTAAGTCATGCACCGGAATGAATTGCAAAAACTGTTCGGTGATGTTAAAATTTTCTTTATCGACATATCGAACGCATAACGATAATTGCTCTATACCTGCAATATCAGTTGTTTCATCTGCAAGAATGGAAAAGCAAGTTGCATCATTAATCTTGCTGACTAGTTTTTGCAGGATTAAAATATTGCAAACCTCAATAACTTCGTTCTGAAATCGAGGGCTGGTATACTGAGCATTTTTTCTGCTTGACTCTAAAATGTTCTTAAGAGTCGAATCGTTCTTACTCCGGAAACGAAGCAATGCCCGAAAATTTCCGTCGTTCTCTTCACCTGGTTGTTCAGCAATTATTCCCGAATCCTTATGTCCTCTTAGAGCGAGACCTTGATTTCCACAAAATAGGATGGTTTCAATGATTGGAGTAATGTTTTTTCTATTTTCTAATTTTCTTCTGCTTGCTGCACTGTCAACTTGTTCATCCACAGGTTTCATCTTTCCAAATAAAATATCGTTTAATGTCCCAGCAGTTTCGATCGATTTTTTGTGATAAAGACATTTCTCGTGTTCAGAAAATCGCTCTACAGCATTTTTCCAGTTGTCAAATTTTACATTGCACAGTTGGCCTAAAGGTTGCTTTCCAGAACCGGCACCACTTGGGGCGAAAAGTACACAAAATTTGCAAAAAGCACCACCCTTAACCTCTGAATATGCAAGCCATTTCCAGCGATAAAGCCATTTGTACTGAAATTTCAATTTTCTTTTTCCTTTTTCAGGAAAAACAAATGCTGGATTGGGTTCCCAAACATTTTTAAGTATATCCAGTTTTTTATCCTCGCATGTATTATCTTCTGAAAAAAGTCCAATGTCATATGGGTGGGAAGTAACACTTTGAGGGCCGCTTTCACATTCATCAGATTCTGTTACGCTAGAAACGTTTTCTTCAACGGAAGTATCACATTTCTGTTCAACAGAAAAACTTACATTGGTACTAGATGCTGTCACCTCACTAATTTCAGGTCGTGATTTTTTCTCAAAGTAATTAAAAATTGTTAAATTCTTGCGTTTAGACATCCTAAAGATCCAAGAACAGCAAATTTTCATTTTTGTCTGTATTATTTTGTAAATTCACTTTGTCTGAGCTCAAGGGGGAGGGGTTTAAACCCCTAAACCCCCCCTTGCGTACGCCCCTGACCACAAAAGTGTCCCAAACAACATAAGAGTTTTCACTAACTATAAGCAATACAGTGTAACGTCCCATATCCGGACGTCCCTTTTCCGGAAAGGTTGATTTCCTGAACACTTTTTAGCATTCAAAATAAACATCTATTCTCTTCCCCTCTCTTAAAAAAAAGTCTTTGGACACACGTTTTTTTCCTTTTCCAGCTTCTAGTGATTTATGCATTGAACCCACAAATAAACAAAAAGGGGAAGAGAAGACCTCCCAAGACCGTAAGCATAAGCAATGCTCCTCCTCATGAATGCAGGAAAGGGGGGAGATTTGTTTTCAAATGAGTCCCCCCCCCATCTTTCCTATGCAGCTGGCTAGTAAAAGAGGCATTTCCTGGAACCATTTTATTAGAGTGTCAGGGGAAGAAGAAATACTCTGAAAAAGGGTAAATATATCAAATGTTAAAGTGGAGAGGGAGTCACTTTCAGTCACACAAGAAAAAATAAAGAGAACCCAATCAGCATGCCGCGCCTTTATGCTTGATTGATGGCCAATGATGGGAGAGAAAATAAGAATTTGTCACTGCCCTGCCCTCAACTTGAATAACAAGTAAGGAGGAAATGAATTTTCTTCTCCACCTACCCAGCTTAATGAATGAGGGGAATTTCCCCTTCTTGCTTGATTCCTTCCAGTTCAAAATGGCAGAGAGAGCACTTAATGTTTTCTTAACTGTCAATTTTTGTTTTCGTTTTCTATATTTTAAGCAATAATTATTTTCCAATATTTTGTTTTTGATTGATTAGATATCATTCTAATACTAAAACATTATTGCCCGAAAAATAATGTTTATTTATTTTTTGCTTCTTAGATTCAGATCGTTTATTAGATCATTTTAAGCTTTGTTTACCTTAGGGGTCTATTGTACGGAAAAATCTAATAACCGGACTAGCAAAAGTCCCACCGATTCCGGATGCGCGACTTTCCACTGTACTTTAAAATATTAACAGAAAATTGTTACAATTCAAACAGCAGTAAATGTTGCATGGTTTAAACTTCTTATGCAAAAGTTTTTATTTTGCTTCATGACTGTTAAAAAAATATTTTTTCATATTTTACATTTTTAATAATGT